AGATGCATGGATGGCAGGCTCAAGTGAAAGTTCTTGCCATTTACTGTGATGAAGATAAGGCTACACGTGTTGGACCTGGTGACAATCTGCAGGTTAAGTTATCTGGAATTGAAGAAGAGGACATATTATCTGGTTTTGTCTTGTGTAATGTTGGTGAGTGCTTTAAAGATTGTAAAAACTGAACATTCTCATGTTTGATCCCCTAAAGAGGAAATTAGATTATGGAAAGCGGAATTAAAAAGTAAATTGTAGGTTGATTTACAAATTTGTTTGCAGAAATATTTCCTTTCTTTGGTAGTTTTTGACAGCAATGCTGGGACATCTTGGCCTCACCATCCCTTTCTATACTTATTTTCTAATTTTGATTCTGAAGTGTTATTTGTGCTTTGTTCTGAGTTTTTCTCGATTATATCCCTTTTTTTTTCCTTTTTTACCCAGCAAAACCAATACCAACAGTCACTGAATTTACAGCCCAGCTGCAGAGCCTTGAGTTGCTTGACAATGTATGAATGAATCCACATTATAAAGTCCTCTCGTCTTTAATCTTTTAGTTAATTCGATTAACCTTGCATCTAATGGTATTAGACTGTCCCTGCTATTTTAGGCAATATTTACAGCTGGGTATAAAGCTGTCTTGCACGTTCATTCTGTTGTTGAGGAATGTGAGATTGTTGAGCTGCTACAACAAATTGATCCCAAGACAAGAAACCCATGAAAAAGAAAGTTCTATTTGTTAAGAATGGTGCTGTTGTTGTTTGCCGCATTCAGGTTTTCTTCTTGCCTTTCACTCTTTTTGAAATTCCAAAGTGTCTATTCTCCGACATTTGAAATTATCTAGAATTATGAATGTTTTCCATTCAACATGGTATCATCCTCCTGGTTGATAATTGTGGGACTCTGCTAGAATTTCTATCTATATGAAAGCTGTAGCATTGGTCTGTTATTTATGCACCTTCTAAGCTTTCAAAGGTCTGAAGTGGTTGGAATCTCCAACCAATATTTCATTTTGTCAAATGGTTTTCACTGGCGGTTTATTTTTAACAGGGAAAGAAGTTTTGCTTTGAAGTCGAGACTAGCCCAATTATATCTGAAACATTTCTCTGTGTTCAAAATTTGGTTCATGAATTATGTCCTTTTGGCAATATCATCTCAGGGGAAAAATTTGATTTGTGTTTGAGAGATTCCCAGATTTTGCACAACTTGGAAGGTTTACTCTTCGAACTGAAGTTAAGTGACTGCATTTTCATTATTCATGAATTACCCTGGGCATGCAGTGTGTAATTTGGATTACTGTGTCTACAGGAAAAACAGTTGCAGTGGGAAAAGTCATGGACATTCCTTCAAGTGCCAGTGCATAAAAAGGTTTTGTTGTTAGAGGTGAGAAATTAAATTTATAGTTTTTTTTGAAATATACAATCTCTAATGGGATGTTTAATGAATGGCTAATTCACTCTGATAGGTATATCCACCGGACTCTCCTTACGAATGGGTGTTAGGTTGCAACACAGAATCGTCTTAAATGAAGTTGCCGCGTTAACAATATATCGATATCTTAAGGAGAGATGAGATGCCAATGCCACAGGTGCTTGGCATTGGTACTTTTGATATACTTATGGGTATGTAATGTTTAACTTATACACCCATTGGCATTTTTGGAACACATGATTGTAATACATGGTTTTCACATCAGTCAGTTAGAAAATATTTAGTTTTGGTTTGGGCATTGTTTGCCATGAAAGCATTTAGTTTGTCATTTAGGTTTTAGGACAATATATATGAGTGTAAAAACTTATTTACTGCCCTTTCATCGTCTATGGCATCCTGGTAGTAAATTGAACTGGCTGATAGAATACAAAGTGATAGCCTTGCTATTATTTTGCATTATTTGGTAAGAGTACATTCAGCCATCTAATCACAACTTGATAACTCAAGGGTTAGAATTACTAATAAGCAAATGCCATCTTAGTTAGGGTTCAATTGTTGAGGTTAATATTTAAAAAATTAATTTCTTTAAATGCACCAAATTAGTGTAGAGTGCACCTTTAAGATGATCAAGAAAGAGATTAGTCTTGAATTACGAATTGTTTTGAAGGTACTCTAACAGTAAATACCAAAAATAATCTGCGACCTAATTTGCCTGTCTAGTAACATCAACTAGGAAAATTGGCAGAAAGCATCGAGATGGAGTGAGCCACTGGCTTAATTTGCCAGGGACGAGGTGAGCTCTCTATTGATCACATGGATTAGCATTCCTGTTATTAGATGAACTTCCTTTCGTAAATATGTTGGCAGCTTGGACAACTTTTAATAGATGAAAATTGCTAGGCGAATTAGGGTCATAAAGATGCTATTTAGCTTCAATTTGCCATTAACAATATGATTATGGTAAGAAAAAAAATATTTTTTTAAAAAAATAGAAAAATGACAATTAGTTTGTGATAAATTTTAAGTTAAAAAACTAAGTTTTTGGAAACCAAGGGAGTATGTGATTTTTCATAAATACCCCTACTATTTGCATGGAATATGAAATTTGAACTTGGTGGACATTCTTGTAATTTAATGCATTTTTTTACTATTGTAGAATCTATTTTTTTGTTTCTTCCAACTTTTGTGCAACTTTGTCATGAAATTAAAAATGTCAATCGAAATTAAATATTCACAGGAGAAAATTCTAATCAGGAACTTCTAAAGGGTTTCATAACCTCAT